ATGTGTAGTTATTATGCGCGTTTTTGTGTAATTAGTAAAAACAGGTGTCCGGATACTTTTGTCCAGGGTGTGTATATTAATATTTTTGCAAAAAATTTAAGCGGAGACTAATAAATCAAATCAACAATTATAATCATAAAAATTTTAATTTTAATAAATGTCGTAAAAACATGCGAGTAATTATTTTATCATCATCTTCGGTCCGCTTTTTTTCTGGAATAAGTAATATTCAATCAAGGTAATGTTTAACATAAAATCAGAATAATCAATGGCTTTAGAACAATCATATTTTTAGAGCAAGATATATATAACCTGTCTTCTTGACGAAGCTAGAGTGAAAAGCGCCACCTTCCATTCTATAGTATCATTATTTTTTAACCATGAATAACATTAATAAGCGGGAACCAAAATCTGACACAGATTTTGTTATTATTATAACCGGGTTTGTTCCGAAATAGGAATTGTGAAAAATGTCTTCATATTAATTAATATACAAAAAAAAAACTATAAATTTTTGGTGCAATGATGATTTTGTTCTTTCTAGCAACCAATTGCTGCTACATGTTGTATAGAGATCATTCCTGAACTTATCGCAAAAGTCAAGATGCTGATTTGATTTAAATGGGATTTTTGAAAATCAATTATTTTAAGCTCAAATTTATTCATAAGGGGTCCAACTTAAAAATATGCTGTGTCAGTGATTATTCAACAATGTTTGTTAAGCGAGAATTGGAATGATATGACTAGAAATGGATTTGCTGATTTTTATAATTGAATTTTTAAATGGACAAAAATTAACATTGTTGCCTAATATTAAAGTAACCAAAAGTATAAAATTTATATCAATAAAAACTTCTGATTTTCAGCTTTCTTTTGACATATTTTTATCTATTTCCATTCAATCATTATTTAGAAAAGATTCCGTTTTTTTTTTTTGATACTGTATGTAAGAAATTCCAAAATTATCAAAGTATATTTCATGGCAGATTGCGTAAAAAGGGATTTTCCTAAGAATCTTTTCCAAAGGATATCAGGCACAAAGGAAACCTACCCAAAAAGATAGATTTCTTATTACTCAAATTGCTTTTACGAGGGAAACAGGACTAACATCATTATTAACAGAATCCATGAAATGAACATCTTCTTCTATCCTAAATTTAGGTTTGTTATCACTGAATTGTTAGTAAATGATCCAATAGAAGATGCGGAAAATTTATCATGTGTTTATATATTTTTATTAAAATAGAACTATACAAAAATTCTTCATTCTGAAGAATCATAAAAGAACATCAAAAGGCTTCTGAAGTATGTTTTTCTTGTTGTCCTTGCTGTATGAAGGGATTATAAGATTGTTGCCCTTGCTGTATGAAAGGATTATAAGATTGTTGCCCTTGCTGTTCAAAAGTATTATAAGATTGTCGTTCTTGCTGTCTGAATGCATTGTAAGATTGTTGTCCTTGCTGTCCAAAAGCATTATAAGATTGTTGTCCTTGCTGTCCGAAAGCATTATAAGATTGTTGTCCTTGCTGTCCGAAGGAATTAGATTCTTGCTCTCTAGATGAGTTGTCTTTCACAAAACCGGAACAACAGCACAGTAAAATGAGGAATGGGAAAGAGAGTACCATTATATTCCAATTAGATTTTGAATCAACTGTAACATAATAAACTGTATTGCTAAGGCTTCTCTGGGACTTAATGGTATACTTTTCTTCAGAAAGTCCATAACTGGAATATACAGGGGAACCGATTATTGGAACATTCCAGGAGATAAGGAAATTGCTTGAATTAGCATCCTCAATCTCAAAGAAGAGATAACCTTTTATTCCACCGAGAAAATGACTTGAAACACTAGAAATAGCCTCGGATTGTCCGTCAATAAGAGAATGTGGCATGCAATTTATGTCGATGTTGCCGTCATAATCATACTGTGTAACCCAACGACCATCTTCAAGACTGGAAGCGGCCAAAGTAATATTATAGCCAGTATTATTTATAAGAATAATTGTTGCACAACGTGAATGGTGTTGAGAAGCAATCCGGTGTGCTAGGAGAGGGCAACATCCTAAACTTGTTCCATTTTGACAAGCGAAATCAATATCTTGTTCAGTTAAAGCAGAATAAGTTGAAGTTGATGAGAACACCAATACAATAATAATAATATTGATGAAGATAAATTTATAATACATGGTGAAAATAAATAGTATTTTCTGGAATGAAAACTTTTTTTATTGTAAAAAAATAATAATAAGTACGGTTTGTCTATTACACCATAATAATAAATAAATCCTATTAACGTAACGATTTACATTGTTAATGAAATTTATTTTTTGCCATTTATGTTTAGAAACATTCGGATAGATGAGATTATCTGTCCGTAATTTATTTATTATTCGTTTTAAAAAATAATTCTATACAAATTATTTACAAATAATTATTTAGACCCTTCATTATTTTATGTAATGCATCACATGAAAAAGATTTAATCCATAGTGAGAATTAAACGTTTATAATATTGGAATGTTAATGTGGGAAATATTTGCAGTCATCCACCATTTGATGATAGAGCTCACAATCATTGTTTAATTTTGATATATGTGAAGGTTTACAACCATCAATATTGCCTGAAATGATTATGCACAAATGATGCAAAAGCGTTGGGATGTGGATCCATCAAAAAGACCAATTATTAGAGAACTTTTCAAATAATAATAATGATAATATTGATAGTAGTAGTGATTCACAACAAGTGCACAAATCACATTCAGATGCATAGAAATTGCTAAATCAAAAAGTTATCAAAGTGATTTCAACTCTCTTCTCTTAAATGTTGAAGGTGAATAAAAGTTCATTAATTGGAAATTACTATCTATTAATTATTACTAAAAATATTTTTTAATTGATTAATAAACATTGGATCCTGGCAATAATAGTAGAAAGAATTGATGAATCTCCGCTATATAAATAATTATTTAAATAATTATTATAATAAACTTTTACAGTTTTTTTTTAATTCTTGTTAAAAGGCGATATTGCAAAGTGGCCTTTTGGTTATTATGATTATTTAGCACATATGGCTTAACTTTTGGGCAACTCTTGTCAGTTAATTTGGTGCTTGTCAATTAATTTACAATTTTACAAAGTGATACTATTACCTGTAGTTCTTTAAATGAATAATCACAGTTCTTTCTGGCGAACTTTTAATTTCACAGTGATATTTGGGATAAAATACCATTTTATGTCTTGCATTTCTATTATTCTTCTGATTGTGATTTTTGTGACAAGAAATCAGGTTCCAATGATAAAAATCGATTGCACAACAATCAACAACTTCAAGAAACCTGCATATGATTTTTACATTCCTTACGGTTCTCATACCATTAGGTAAAGCATAATTATTATACAAATTGGCAAATACACTATAAATCAAAAGCATTATTAAAGAATTTGGATTCTGTGATCCAAAATTTGAGAGATCTGCATATTAAAAATCTCTATCGTTGATCGGCGGCTTGTTTAGGAAATCTGAGGATCTACAAGGCCAATAAAATTTCTGGAATCGCGCTGTATCGTTCATTCCTCAGATACAGGTCACTCCAGTTATAAGGACAGCTCGTTATAGTGACAATCTCGTTATAGTGATATTTTTTCAAAAACACACTTTAAATATAAATTTACTCCCGTTATAATGACATTCATTATGTATCCCGTTATAGTGACATCCGTTATAAGGACATGTCAGTACAATGAGAGAACCAATCAAATTACTCAAATCACTATGACAAAATTAGATGACTAATTATTTACGTTTTTAATGTTTTAATATTACTAATACTAAACACGTTAAACACAAATTACTTACATCAAGTTTATTATTATTAACACTAAAATTAACAATAATCAAATTCGCAAATTGTTTTGGTGGTGACAAAGTATCTATTATTTTCAAGAATGTGAATTGTAACAAAGTATCTTTACATTTTTGATTGATCTCTTATTGTTTTTTGATGATGAAATATTTATAGTGATGAAATATTTTGCATTTTTGACAATAAAGAAATTTATTCACAATTGTTTTTTTTTTATGACGTTTTCAAACAAGACTATAAAAGAATTATGAATTATACTTACACTGAAAATTTTTGAAAATTTTTAAAAACGTTTTTTCTAAACCTTTTAAAACTTTTCCTAAATTGTTGATTTTAAAATAAATTTAATCATTTTTCAAGTCATGTGGTTTTATATGAACCCCCGTTATAAGAACATCTCGTTATACGGACATTTTTTGCTTGTCCCATGAGTGTCCTTATAACGGGAGTGACCTGTATCAGGAAATTTAAAACTTACGCCGGGTCAAATTGGCCAGCATTCTACGGAAGTGTTATCAAAATTTTCCATGATGCTGGTCAATTTTGATCCCGGCGTAAGTTTTAATTTCCTTATTAGAATGGTTCTCCCATTATACTGAATGTCGTTATAACAGAATAAATTCTATAATTCTAAAAAAAAAGTTGACAAATTATGTCATTATACTAGTATAACGAGATAAATAATAGCGCCATTTAATGTCGTCATTCGTAATTAATTTCGTCACCCATTACGTATTACGTTTTTGACAAAACAATTGCCATCTCATGTATAGTTGTAATTTTAGCAACTTTAATTGATTTTATTTATGATAATATATGCAAACATACATATGTATGTGCATATGTATATAAAAAAAAAAACAATAACCAAAAACCCTCAATTCGTTGAAAAAAAAAAATCCAATAAAAAATATGAATTTGCTAACAATATTTTAGTAGAAGTGAATATAGTTGTTCAAATCCATAATTAAAAATAAATAATCTACCTAATATCTTACACTTATTTTTTATTTTTGATTTAGATCTAGTCTTTATAGTAGATTTAACGACACCTTCTTTCTTTTTTTTTAAATTATTTACCATATATAAATTTTATTAATAAAATAAATAATTTGTAAAACAAATTTCAAAATTAAAAAGTTAAAATTTTATTATTGTGTTTTTGTTCAGCATTATTATTATTAATATTTTCTTCATCAACATTATCATTAGCAGGATGTTTTTGCTATTTGTAATCATGACAAGATTATAGCTACCTTTTTTGTAAAAAATTAGTGATATATACAACAATCTTCAAACACAAATATTTATAATAATAAATATTATTTTATTTTCTTACTATTGATAATATGGAATTTCAGCATTATTTTTCATAGAATAGTAGAGAAAGTGGTATATACACTTCCTAATGGATTACCTTTTATCATTTAAATGTTCTCAAGCTCTTTTGATATCAAACTTGAATTATATCAAGCAAGTCAGAATGTAAAAAAAATTAAAAAAGAAGCTAGAAATACACATTGTGAATAAGTTAGATTATGATAAAATATATCAACAAATAATCTGGAAAATTGGAAATGCTGTTAATAAATCATTTAAAGACAATAATTTAAGTTTAACAATATTTATTATGTCCACAGAAAATTAATTGAAATTAACACTAACATTCACTTGCAAGAATTGTGGAAATTTGTATATAAACTCAAAAGAATGGAGAGTTAAAGTCTGGAGCCTTTATTTAATAATAATAAAAATAGTACTAGGAGTCTTTGTAATATTAATATTGAATTACGTTATTATCATTATGATGATCGACATTATTTTTTTTTTGAGCCATTGTTTACTATTAAATATACCACGTGATTCTCCTACCCTTATGTTAGTTACAAATTAAAATTTTCAAAAAGTTTCATTTGGATAACAAATAGATCAGCACTAGCGAATTAAATAAAGAGCACGTGAGAGTATGAGTGAAAGAAAAAAAGAACAATAACAATAGTATTATTATTACTTAAAATGATTAAAATGAGAATTTCAACCGGATTTTTAAGAATTCAGAAAAACCGGATTTTTAAAGTACAACTTCCCTGGTTTTTATTTTTGATATATACAATTAACAAAGGCAATAGTTACATAGAATAGCCAATCTCGACGATCCATTCTCATCGAAATATAGTTTTTTCCCAAGATAGACAATTTCTGTATCTATATATATAGTTATATTACTCATGACCACGTGATAAGATAAATTTACTCGCGAATATATATATTTTTTTTTGATGTTAGAAAATTTTAAAAAATGTTTTCATTAAAAGAAATTGTTTCAGCATTTGCAACAATATTATTTATAACAATAATTTTTTCATCATTAAAATATTATTACAATTATTTTACCCGTCCAAATCCTTATAAAGGGCCTTTTCCTTTACCATTATTAGGAAATTTACATCAAATCTTTTATCATCGTTTTAATCTTCCATTATGGTTTCACTCATTACATTTAAAATATGGTGATGTGTTTGAAATTTACAATGGATCTGATAGACAATTGATCACTAACAATCTACAAATCATTGAACATGTCATGAAGCCAGTGAGAAATAGTAATTACATGTCACGTTTTCCACCTAATGAAGGAATAGATGAATTAGGAAAAAGCACCAAGGGAATTGTTCTGAATAGAGACATAAACAAATGGGCTGATAATAGAAAAATATTCATTAGAGCTATAATGGCTCCAAATGCATTAAAATTTTCAGCTAATCTTGTAAATTGTGTTTTTAAAGACTTAGAAATTTATTGGGATTCTTTAATTGATGAAATGGGAGAATCTATTAT